GAGAAGCTTAAAGAGAAGCTTATAACCAAGCTGAAAGTAAGTAGGAGATGTGAGATAGCAGCTGCCCGGTGCTGCAAAGTCATTTTGTCACCAGGAGCATAGTGATGGGAGGGCTCCCCTGGGCTGCCCACCTCCACCCAGGGCAGTTCTTGTGCCCAGCCCAGTGCTAGCCACAGGCAGCTCGGTTTGCAAGCAAAGGGCACACGTGACTGGTGCAAGACTATAGCATAAGTGCCAGCAGCCATATCATATCTGTGCTTGGTGGAGATGCGGATGCTGCTGGCGAGCTGTGGGCTATCATCTGGACACATCCACACTGATAGAAGGTTGTTGGCAAATGGGAGGTCATGCAGAGACAAAAATGATAGGAAAGGAAGAAGGACATGAGCTACATTCAGAAGTGAAGCAGGAGGATAAGTCTCCCAGGCAGCCCTTGGAAGGGTTGCCAAAACGCAGCGCGCACAGCCAAGCCCTGCCAGATGTTGCTGCTGCCCAGGAGCAGGGCTGCAGGTCTGTGGTGGCACTGGGAGCAGATGGCAGCAGCTGGGAGGAGCTCAAGGAAAGGTGGGAGGGAAGGTGGCTGCCAAAACGCCTTGACTCAGCTCTGCTCATGGGAAGAGACTTCACTTGGCTTCTGAGTCTATCAAAGAGAACTTTAAGCATTGACTTGCTTGCGTGTGACCTACCAGCACGTATGAAGTGGAACATCTTCTGACATTATCAAGTTCAATGAGAAGAATTGGAAGCTAGGGGTGCTCAAGTGGAATTCAAATGCAGGTTTGTGAAATTGGGTCAGAGAGGACCTACATCTTCACCAGCTACCACAGCTGGATCTGCTCCCAGAGAGCTGCCGCTCAGCCCCAGCCAGACACACGGTGCACAGGGTAGAATTTTATGACTCGTGTCACAAAGGGGGTCAGATGAGCTGCTCCTCCTGGCTTCTCAACACATCAGTTTGCCAATCTTCCTCAAAACAAAGGGAAATTGGGGCTGAGAGGGCTTTCTCTATTAAGTCCAGCAGCCAAACCCATGAAACACTACCTCAGCTCACTCCCTGAAGAGCCATGCTGATGTGTACAAAGGAGGCAGGAGACCTTGAGAAAAAAAGGCTGGTCTTGTTGGAAAAGCCTGTAGCTGTGAACCAAATGAGAGGTTTTTGCATCCATCCCTGTCTCAGCCTCTCAATGATGCACTGCTCTCGCCTCATGCGTCAGCAGCTGCCCAGAGGCATCCGGCGCTTTGCCCTCTGCCCACAGCTGGGCTGCTGCTTGGTGGCATCAGGATCCTGCAGCAGCACTCGCCCTCCAAGCATTGGATGCCTGAACACTGCCTGTTCATCTGCCCAAAGCCAGCAAGCAGCTCAGAAAATTCAGATTATCCTTTCCCATTTCATTCCCCACCCATGGTGGGGCTGCCTCCCTGGAAGGGGAGCCGTAAGATGGGCTCATTAACATCTGTGAAGTACAGATACTGCTGCACTAAGTGCATTGCAAAAGCTCATGGGATGGTTGTTAATTACATATTCAGTGTGGGGTTGTAATGGCATGCATTAAGAGTGGCATGGGGTCCCCACTTTAAATAATGGGGATGAAACAAATTAAACATTTGCCCCTGTTTTGTGGGCTGAAGAATGCAGCTCAGGAATATTTTAACCACTGCGCTGTCATCTCAAGTACCTCCACACCACAAAGGAGCAGAATGAAACAGCCTTCACATAGCAACTCCTAATTTCCTAAAAGCCTTTATGTAACATTCTCCAAATTGCACAGCTTGGTATAGCGATCCCACTAAATTTTTACCAGAGGAGAAAGACATACCAGCACTTGCATTACCCAACCTCTGCATACACTGCAATGTGGAAGACCCTTTGCAGAGCATGACCACTCCCAGGCTCCCCAGCAGAGCCTCTCTTAATTGGGCGGTGGGTGCAAATGTCTCCGGTAAAGGCAACTGGTGGACAAGTGGGAGATTAAGCTCAGAAACCTCACAGGAGCGGATAGCAGCATGGCAAAACGCTGGGGAGGAAGCAGTGGGCAGCTAGGTATAATACCAGGGATGACAAATGCCTGGGATGACTGTGGAGCTGGTGTGTCAGTGCCAAGATATTGGAGGAGTCTTCATCAGGAAGATCGTAATTCCTCCTGAAAAGGACCTGGCTCAGCCCCTGCAATAGAGCATTTTACTGCAGTCTGCACAGTAAAAGGTGTCCAAAAAAGGAGGACACTGATATGTGTGTTAATCAAGTGAAGAACCATCTACAAAGAAAAGGCATGGATCTGTCTTCCAGTTGAGGAGCTATAAATAGCCTTGCATACTTGCTTATCAGATTGGTTCGGCTGCAGGGATAATCTCCTGGAGAAAGCAATGGAAGCCCTGTTATGTTGGATATTTATAACTAGATGAAAGCCTAGAAAATGCACAGTCGTGTCAATCTTGCGCTCGTGCAGCAAGATAGGGTGTGTGAGATCCAATTAGTCTCTTCAGTTTAATATAAGGTCAAGAATGGCTCCGTCTTTCCAGCTCCACAAGAACGAAGCAGGGTCTCTTGAAGCACTCTGAGTGGCAACAGAAGCATGGTGAGATATTCCCATAGGGTCACAGTGGTCACAGAGCTCTCTAGTAGGATGACATCACCCTCCCTGCACAAACAAGGCATGTCCCATGCCGCTGACAGATCCGGAATGCAATGGGAAATATGGCCCCAATGGACCAACCCAACGCAACCAGAAAGTTGTGATCCCCAAACAACGTGTCCTGGCTCCTGAGTCCCCTTATTGCCCGCTTAAAGCATCACAGCCCTCACCCCAGCCCCACAAGTTCACTGAACTGCCATTGCCAGATAATCTGCAGAGCACCAGGGTGATGGAGTTAATGCCAGTAGATCCCCCAAGCTGTGCCCTGCCGCGGCCTCGGCTCTCACTGGATTTTATGTATGTCGGGGCGGGTGCTGGAGGCAGCAGGACGCCCAGCAGCTGCCATGGGAGGGGAACTGGGCTGGGGGCAGTGAACAGAATGGGGGCTCCAGCACACCATTATCCTGTGTGCACCCAAAGAACTGCGAGGTTCTGTGGCTGCAAGGTGACTTCTGTTCTACGCTGTGAGCACTTACATCTCCTATGCAGTGGGAAAGCTGAATTAGTGGAGTGGGTTAGGGCCGGGGACTCCAAAGGTGCTTTGCCCCCACAGCAGCCCCTACTCTGAGCAGTATCCCCTGGCCTTAGAACCATAGAGCCATAGAATTTCTCCACTTGCAAGGGACCAAGGGGATCACTGAGTCCAACCCCGGGCTCCAAAACCACCCAAAATCCAAAGCCTATGTCTGAGAGCATTATCCGAATGCTCCTTGGTCTCCAGCAGCTCAGAGCCCTGCCCACTGCCCTGAGCAGCCTGTTCCATGCCCACTGCTTTCTGGGGCAGAGCCTTCTCCTAACATTCAGACAGACCTTCCCCTGATGCAGCTCCATGCCTTTCCCTCACCTCCTGCCCCTTTCACCAGAGAGCAGAGATCTGTGCCTTGTTTGGGTCTGCTCATCACATAACATCCTGGCAGGAAGACAATGAACACGCCAAGGACTGCAGAATGCCCTCCATCTCCTACTGCAGAATTTCCAGGTTCTCCTCTCTCACCTTCCTCCTCCTTCACTTTCTCTGAGTCATCTGCCACATTCATGAGCTCAAGATCCCCTCTCTCAGCTCCAACACCACCGCTCTGCTGTACCCAGCAGCACAGCCACATGCAGCTCCCTTCACACAAGACCTTTGTGCATTCTGCATGCACCTGGCTGGTACTTGAGGGCTCTTGACAAGTCCACTGCAGTCATCCTGCACCAGAAACCTCTCCATACTGCTTTTCCCAGTTGTCTGGCTTGTGCTCTTAGGAAGAAAGCTGACTGCACGACACTCTCAAGCAGGAGGGTGTCTCGTATTGCCAGAGCATCCAATGGATTTGGGAGCCCAGCCAGACCCAGCTGAAACTTGCCTTGCTTTGTTGGGCACAACATTATCCCAGGAACTAACCTGTGAAGAAGGAGAAGATGGACTGACAGACCTTCAGGCCCCCAAGTTGCTCTGGGCCCCCTCTGTGCTGTAAGAGGGGAACCCAGCATGCTTCCCAGCTCCAAGATTTTCTGAACACTCTCAGCTTTGTCCCAAAGTCAAGGATGCTCCCAGAAGCAGGAGATTTCAGGAGGACCCTTAGCACTACCTTCCTCTACTCCGAGAGATTCCCCAGCAAGCTCCCCCTAAGTACAAGAGCACAGAAGACAGCAGGTAGAGGAAAATTGGCGTTATGTGCACAGCCAGAGCCAAGGCTGAAGAAGCAACTGAAGCCGGCCAGAGAAGCTAGCTTGGGGCAGGGACTGCTTTGAGGCAGTCAGCAGGCAGCACGAAGGCAGCATGGGGACAATGACTAGGGGTGAAGTTGTGCCAGGGCAGAGGAAAGCCAGCATTGCTGTGGTGGGATGGCAGATGCCTCTGGTAGGGCTTTGTAGGATGGACTCAAGCAAGAGGTGACCTGAAGGGCCCTGCTGGAGTCCTTAGGATTACCATCACCCTGCTCCTGGGTCCTCAGCCCCATGCATTCCCTGTGCCACTAAACCTCTTCTTTGCTCCCCAGCGAAGCTTTACATCTCCAAGAGCGCAGCATGGAGCTGAGCACAACCCAGTACCGCTGCCCTCTGCCTTGGGGTAGGCATCACAGGACCTTCTGTCCACAGTCTCACCATGGGCAGCCCCTCTGTGTGCTTATATCCACGCTGCATCCTCAGAACAGCCTTTTGGGCCCCCTATCATGCTGTTAGAACTGCCTCCTAGCCCTGCCACCTCCTGCTATCCCCTCAACTCTCCCCACCCCACCATGCCTTTGCTGCTCCTTTGCTTTTTGCCTCCCAGCCCTACCAAGCTGCATGTGGGAGCCCCATCTGACCAAGGCACAGAGTCTAAAGAGCCTTGGGTGCAGGGTCCCCATGGTGGGCACAGACACGGGTGCCGCCAGCACCTACCATTCTCAGGGTGCTCCATCTCCCCAATGCTGCCATCAGGCGTGGTGCGCTCATAGTGGTCCTCAGGCAGGGCCAGTGGCCCAATGCGGGGCCCCGATGATGATTTGCTGCTGGGAGTCTCCGACTCCTCCAACCCGCTGTCATAGTAGCTGTGCTGGGAGGGGTCTTGTAGGTCCTGGGCCTGGCTGGCTGCAGAGAACGTCACTCGGCGATGAGGTAACTGTGGGAGGAGAGAAGAGAAGAGGTTTTCATTTGCTGGGTGGTTGACATAAAGCAGGGCGCATCAGAATTGACCCCACATTGAAGGCAGAGGGTCAGCAGGGAATACTGTTCAAGGGACCTTGTGCCCATCATCTCCTCTGGCCCCTGCCTCCTTTGCCACCAAGGAGGACACACAGTTTGTATATCACAGAATCGCTAAGGTTGGAAAAGAACACTAAGATCATCCAGTCCAACCATCAACCCTTCACCACCATACCACTAAACCGCGTCCCTCAGTGCCACAGTTCTCAGCCTACAGGCTCTAAACGGCCCCCATAAGCGCCGTGCCCTGAATTACGGGCTGGCCTCCACCCCAGCCTTCATGCGGTCTCCTTGCCCTCCACTTTGCACGCACCCTTGGTGCTCTTGGAGACCCATTTCCATCAAAAGCCTTTCTAATGGGATCAAGGCTCAGCACAAAGCCTCGGGTGACATCATTCCCACCTTACAGCCTGCAGCTCGTCGCCTCTCACTGTAAGAGATGCTCCATCATGGGTCACGATCGCTTCTTCTGTGTGCTCGTTAAACACTGCCAAGCCCTACTTCACACTTGCTCTCCCTCATGTTATGGAAGAGCTGCTGCAAAGAGCCATTAAACTGCATCATCAGCCTCCTTCAAATCCTTCCAGAAAATCCCTCTTTGTCATGATTAGTGAGGAGTGGAAAGAGTAAGGCAAGTTCACAGGGCAAAACCAGGATGATGAGAACACAAACACCAAGAGAGAATGACACACAAAATCAACATCGCAAGGAGCTGCTCAGTGGGACTGGGAAATGATGGGGAGGCAAAGAGCCAACACACTGAAAGGCAGCACCATTCAGGCTAAATTCCACTTTCACTGCAGTATTTACCAAGATGGAGTGGCAATCAGGCATCCCACACAGCCAGCACCAAGGAGGACAGGGAAGGAATCAAGCCTAACCAGGGGAAGGAACACACAGGGAGCATTTAAATGAGCTTGCTGCTTTTAGGTTGGTTGGACCTGATTAAATTCACCCCAGGTGCTTAGAGACCTGATTTAAGGAACTTCAGAGCTGTTAGGGCTTCTTCTTCTTTTTTTTTTTTTTCTGCTTTCTTTTTTTTTTTTCTTAAGAATTTTTACAGGTTGAGGGAAGCTCCAGAAAAGTGGAAGAGAGCTAAAATAGCGCCTGTCTTTAAAGACGAGAAAAAAGAAGATCTGGAGAATTATAAAACAGTTAGCTTAATTTCAGTTCCTGGAAAAATACTGAAACAGATAAAAGAACTCTTTGTAAGTACCTACAAGATAACAAGGAAATGAGTAACAGCCACGGTAGGTTTGTCACAAACAAACATGTCAAGGCATTGAACTTCTCCCTTTGAAAAGACATCAGGCCTTGTGGATGGAGGAGGAGCAGTAAACGTTACAGCTTGGCTTTCGGAACTTTTCTGACACTATTTTAGATGGCATTCTCATGAGGAATGCAGGGAAGTGTTGTAGGTGCAGCGTAGCACTTCTCCGCTTTGCTAATACGGTGCATCTCGCTGCGGGGTGGATGCAAAGCCTTTAGAAAGTCATATTCAGAAAGTAATTACTGGAGACAAGTCTTACAGGCGGGACGATGTTTCAAATGAAATTCTCCGGGTTTTGTCCCGCGTCTGTTGCTAGCCTGTATTTTCATTAACGGCTCGGATGACAAATGTGGAATATATCTGTCACATTTACACACTTGGGAAAAATAATCACCACGAAAGCAGCAGGCTGGCTGAGGGATTGGGGGCTGCAGCAGATCATGGGTTGGCTATCTATCAGCTGTGTCAAAGCCTCACAAAAAACGCATCTATATTGGGATGCATAAGCAGGATATTTGTCTTGAAGTCACACTGTGCTTGGTGCCAGTAGGGCTTCAGAAGGATTGTAGAAATGCCATGTCCAGTCTGGAACATCACATTCATTGAATCATAGAATCACTGAGGTTGGAAAAGATCTGCAATATCATCCAGTCCAACCGTCCACCTATCACCAATAGTTCTTACTAAAAGCCATGTGCCCCAGGGAGGCAGAGAGAAATAAGAAAATATCCTGATAAGCAGGGAAAGACTGAGGATAGAGGTCTGGGGAGGAGAAGGCAGAAGGTGTAAAGCTTATAGATCAGGGAATCATTACAGTTGGAAAAAATCTCCAAGGCCATTAAGTCCAACCGTCAACCCATCCCCACCATGTGCCCATGTGCTGCATCAACACATTTCCTGATTTTCCTGAACACCTCCAGGAACAGTGACTCCACCACCTCCCTGGGCAGCCTGTGCCAATGCATTACCGCTCTTTCTGAGAATAAATTGTTCCTAATATCCAACCTGAACCTCCCTGGGTACAACTTAAATACATCACCTCTCATCCTATTGCTGTCACCTGGGAGAAGAGGCGAATCTCCACCTTGCTACAATCTCCTTTCAGGGAGCTGCAGGGAGTGATAATATCTCCTCATAGCCTCCTCTTCTCCAGACTGAACCATCCTTTCTGCAAATGCTTTCTTCAAAGAGAGAACAGTGGGCTGCTCCTTCCTGCCATTAGCAGGATGGAATTGCCTCCACCCGCAGGGAGGAAGATGGAGGTTCCCAGAGCAGAAGAAATACCTACGTAGGTTTGGCAAAGCGTAAGAAATCCCTAAAAGGGGAATGTGCCATGCAGGAGTAGCAACTCTGAGAGTCACAGAGCTCTGGACCCAGCCTATGGCAGCTATCCTACCTCCCCAAACATCTGCTCCCGAACAGCATCTTTTCCTACAGAACACCTCCATCAGGTACCACACCTGGCTGGTAGAGGGGCAAATCCAGCACTCCCAGCCCTGCTCCCTCATGCACACAGCACTGTGGGCTCAGAGACCCTCAGCCCCGCACAGTCCCCACCACGCTGGGATGAGATAATAGCAGCTTGTCTCTGGCTGAGGCTCCCCACCCGCACAGCCCTGTTCTGGACTCAGCACGGCAAGACACTGGCTCCGTTTGTCTGGCTCTGACTTGCAGAAATTGGGTTTTGTCTGACCTCTCTCTGTGAGGTCAATGCGCCTTTCAGCAGCAGCGCTCCCTGTACAAGAAGCTGCTTGTGCAGTGCGACCGAGGCACCCCTCAACCTTCTCCTGCTGTTATACAAGCTGGCTTCCTCAAGCCCCAGCCACAAGCTGGGTTTTGAGCCAGCCACTCCATTTCATGGCCCTCCTCTTTGCTCACCCCATTTTTCCCTTTCTATCCCTGTAAGGTCGGATGCATCTCAATGCTCCGTTCCTGCTACCACCTCCCAGCTCACACCCCTGGGTCAGAGCAGTGTGAGTGCCCAGCTGAGCTCCTCCTGCACTGCAATGCTCTGCAGGACACTCATGGGCATCCCCTGCTTCTCACCACACGGCTTTGCGTTAAGATGCGCTTTGTTTCCTCAGGCCCGCTTTACCAAGCAATCTGGATCGCTCTGCATGACTGCTCTGTACTCATTGCAATCTCCCACTCCACCAAGCTCCATGTCAGACGCACATTTCATCAGCGTTGATTTTGTATTTACTTCCAGCTCGCTGATTGAGGCACTGAATGGCAGCGGGTGTGGACATGCTGCCAAAAGCTCCTCCAGAAGACCCCCTTCCACCAGGGACTTTCCAGCCTTTCTTCTCTATGCTGCTACTAAATCAGATCGTCACCTAGCCAGCAGTGCCCCACGTACAATGGAGAGTGTTAATTTGAAATAATAATGATAACAACAGAAGGCTTGATCAACTTGGCATCTTTGCCAAGGCTCCATCAGCCGCACATTGTCAAATAGACTCTGTGGGTCCTGGTGGTGGCCAGGACAGACTCGTGTTGGTGACACTGCCTGACCACCTCCTGTCACCACGTTGGCTGCAATCACTTGTGGTCCCCTCAGCGGGCTCCTAGCCCACAGCACGCCCCTCACTGCTGCCCTGGTTCAGGGCATCATTCCAAATAGCGGTATTCAGAACTGCGCTATCCCAAATAGTGTTGTTGCAAAGAGGCTGTATTTTGAACACCTTTGTCACCTACCAGCTCATTGGCAGGTGCCACATCCTGCCTTGTTCTCAACCCAAATTGCCAGTGCAACTTACTGAGTACTTTTGCATTTTTTTGCATAATTAACAATTTGCAAATGACGATTTCTGGTACTGCCTCCTCCTAGCACTTTTTTTTAAGTGTTCCTCATTGTATCCTGCTTGTCAAAACTGATATTCCCCCCACGGTTTTTTGTTTTTTTTTTTTGTTTTTTTGTTTTTTTTTAGCTTTCCTCGTCAATTTTCAACACTCCAAAACTACTCATTTCTACTAATCATTACACTCTCCCTCTCCCCCCCTTTTATCACTTTCCTGTTTCTCACTGCTCTCTCCGCTCTGCATGGTGTAACCATGAGCCCTCACTGTTCATCCTCCCAGGATCCTCCCCCATCCTGCTGCTCCCCACCACTGCTCCCCCTCCCCCCAGGGCCCCCATGGCTGCTGGAAAGACCCAGGGCACTCTCTGCTCCTTCCCAACTCTTCCCTTGGATGTAAACCTCCCCATCTCAAAGCAGGGCATGCACCAGGTTCATTCTGCTTCCCAACTGGGCCAATGCACTCAGCAAAACCAGGAGCTGGGCTATAAGGGAGCAGGGCTTGGTGGCGCTGCGCTGGCTCCTCCTCAAAATGCACCCGTCACACCGTCATGCTGCAGCAGGGACCACAGGGCCAGAAATTACGCCTTGCACAAAAGGAACCTTAGAATCCACCCTAGGCACCCTTTTCCTGTGGGATTAGTGCCAGAGCAGTAGAAACGTCAGAATTGTTAACCCCTTCGCTGCTCCCTGAACGCCTGCAGCCTCCGAGCCTGCTGCCAACAGAGCTTGCTTCCCCGGCCACTGCCACAATGCAGCAACTCACAGGGCTGTGGAGAGACAGCCATGTCAGACCACGGTGCCCAGAATATCAAAATAAGTGACAAGGGAGCCATTGTGGCACAGGAC